ATTCTCCCAACTTAATCTCCATCCATCCATCCTTTCTCTTATGAGGAACCACATAGTTTTCTTGCAAACGCCTTGGTCTTCGAAGATAAACATTTTCAGTCTCCATTTCTATCCCACCATAACTTACCCTAGATTTTGCGGGCACAGCAAGTCCGCTGCAATCATCGGTGGTTCGAAAGACAAGATATGCCACATATATACTCTTTTGTGACAGCTTCACGGCTGCTACTTTGCCGTGGATTTCAAGCCACCATACTTCTCTGAGTATGCACACCTCGGGGAACCTGCGCAAAGGGCAACGTATATGTATGAAAGCCGAATGCGCGAATTATAATAAAATATATATACAATGATCCTGATCGAGTGTACAGTACCTTGATTCCGGTACATGTCCCCATTCCCAGTATCGAGTGTCATCCTGCCATTCAATGGACAGATCGTTTGCCTCCAACATATAAAACTTTTTCCCATTCTCCTGCTTGTCGATTTGGAAGATCAGTTTGTGGAATAATTACATGGCCAAATTTTAGCCGAAGTGGCTTAACAGTTACATGAAAAACTATAGTTTCCTCATGTGTCATTAGATTTGAACGGTAGATGATACCCAAGGAAAAAGAAAATAATGTATATGACAAGGATGAATGATTTAGCATATAGACCGATCAAGGAGAATACGGGATTCCAATAAGCAGAGGTAAGTAAAGTTACTTTTTAGAGCGAAAAACCAGAATAAATCCATTCTTTTGTTGAAAATATAATTTTATACAAAAGATTAGAATCATAGTTAAAAAAATATGCAATAGCTAATATCATATTATATTGTCCATGAATGATAGTTTTCATTCTTGCTATGAAAATTAAAATATATTTCCTAAAAAATATGGAATAAAGGACTTACTTGAATATTTAGTGCTTCCTCGATCCCCTCGATGATCCTATCCATAGTAGGTCGTTTCTTTATGTCCATGTTAATGCACTCATGTGCAATTTCATTAAATTTGTGAAAAGAACTCATATCAATCTTCCCTTTGATAGCAGTATCTACTAACTTGTCAAGTCCATCAACGAGTTGATGGTCATCATAGTAGCTTCGGACCATGTCGATCATAGATTGTGTCTTAGTATCTTCAAAGGACCTTACATGATAAGCCATCATCCCACTTGATATTTCAAACATTACCACTCCAAATGAGTATATGTCTGACTCTTTAGAGAGCCTACGTCTTTCGTTGTAAACCGGATCAATGTAACACATTGTACCACAAGGCCTTGTCAAGACTTGGGTTTCTGGCTGATTTCTTGGACTTAATCTTGACAAACCAAAATCACATATTTTGGCTTCCATATTATCATCTAACAAAATATTTGCACTCTTAACATCTCTATGAATTACTCTTCTGTGCTCACCAACACCAGAGTGTAGGTACTTTATCCCTCTTGCTGCCCCCAAGCCAATCTTCAGGCGTTGTACCCATGTCAGGCAACACCTTTTATTTGGGTCTTGGAGGTGATGATCAAGGCTGATGTTAGTAGCATACTCGTAGACTACAATTTGCTCATTTGCCTCTTCACAGTAACCAATGAATGGGATGATGTTTGGATGATTGAAATTTGAAACCATCTTGACTTCATTTTTGAACTCGACGTTTCCTTGACGACTACTAGGATTAAGGCGTTTGATGGCAACTAAGCGGTTATTCTCAGAGAGTTTTCCTTTGTAGACCATACCAAACCCACCATCTCCGACTTGAGTTTCTTCACTGAACTCATTTGTGGCCTGAATGATCTCCTCTAGTGGAATTCGACATTTTTCTAGGTTTACCCTTGAAGAAGACATTATTTTTTTATTTTGGTGATTATGTAGAGTTATGGTAGTAGCAGCTTTTCTGTGAAAATATATAGAACTGAGTTTGCTAATTAGAAGCGCGTACCTATATTGGCCATGGCTTAAGAATCTTATAACCGTTGACTGACTTCTATCTACTATATTTTATCTTAGCAAGACATATGATAGTTGCAGGAGTGGAATTAAAACTAATAATGAAATCTCGAAGTTACCATAATAAAATAACGATGCCGTACAAGTCGAAGTGTCAGACGTAATTTTCAAACATAATAACTAGGGAACAATGCATGTGGATCAAATGTGAAAGAGTCAAATAAATCTAGGAATGTCCATTATGGCGACTTATTTCTAAAGTGGTGTTTAGAGCATTTAGTATCGACAAGTAGATGTACATTGTAACACCATTTTGGTGTCGCCTCACATTGTAACACTAAATGGGGAAACGGAAACGGTCACTATGTTGCATCTTGTTATAAAACCAATTTTTTTCCATTTTCTAATTTTTTTTCTAATTTTTTTTCGATTTTTTTTAATTTAAACAAATACTTTTTAAATATAACATAATAAATAAAACATAATGTTTAAAAATTATAAATAACATATAATAAAAACAATTTTTTAAGATTAAAAATAACATATAAATTAAATTGCACATAACATCCAAATTCAAAAAAAAAAAATACAACTCTATTCGGTTAAAAAACATTTTTTTTAAAAATTAAACGCTATTCGTTATCGTTATTGTTACCATAGAAGATATAATCCGCCAAGTGCTCTCGTAGTTGTCTGTGTTTATTTGCGTCTTCAATGTCAACGACTCGATGCAAATACTCTGCTACTCCTGGTTGAAACTGAACGTGTCTGGGCTCCGTTGGGATATAGTATGCAATATTTCGCCCTTTATCTTCTACTACCATGTTATGCATTATGATACATGCATACATGACATATCGTAAAGTTTCTAAATCCAATGGTCGTGCTGCATGTTCAACTATATGCCACTTCTCCTTCAGCACTCCAAAAGCACGTTCCACATCCTTACGTGCTCCTTCTTGTTTTCTCTTAAAAAAATTGTATCGTTCTTCAACCGGGTGATGGAATGCCTTCACGAATGTGGAATACTGAGGATATATTAAAGTAATATCCATATTTGCATTCGTTTTCATTCATCGTGAAAGGAGCATCCGGGGCCTTTCCATTCAAAAGATAGTCGAATATTGACGACTGATCAAGAACGTTGACGTCGTTGTTGGAACCCGCAACCCCAAAAAATGCATGCCAAATCCATAAATCTTGAGAAGCAACAGCCTCTAAAACCGACGAAGGTGATCCGTGATGACCACTTGTGTATTGCCCTTTCCATGCTACCGGACAATTTTTCCATTTCCAATGTGTGCAATCAATGCTTCCGATCATTCCGGAAAAACCCATGGCATTCTTCATGCGCCACATACAATTCTTGCAAATCATGCAACGAATGTTTCCGCAAATACACGTCTCCAAATGTTTCAACAACACCCCTTGACAATGTATACAAACTCTCCATTGCGGTTCTTTCGGACATTCTCATATAGTCGTCCATGGTGTCGGGTGACTCCCCCATAGCCATCAAACGAATGGCCACAACACATTTCTGCAACGTTGTAAACCCTCGTCTACCTCTAGCATCATATCTCAATTGAAAAAAATTCATACCTAAACATAAATTAACTACAATTTAAAAATATATTGCATATGTTGTAAAATTAAAGAAAAATGTACTAGATTTTTATTTATTTTGTATAAAAGTATAGTAAAGAAGTGATACCGGCTTTCCAAGGCGTTGGCGATCCGTAGGAACACATTTCTACTCAAACAAAATCTTCTTTTGAAGTCCTTCGACCCATATACAAAATTATCCGCAAAGTAATCGCGATATAGATGTTCGTGTCCTTCATCGCGATTTCTGTTTAACATCGCACGTCTTGTTAGTAGCGGGGCTGGGTCTGGTTGCAGCAGGTCAGTAGTGTAATAATGATACAGAAGAAAATATTGTCATCTGAATCATCGGAGGAGTCGAAAGGGTCCATATTTTTTTTTGAAGATAATTGAAAGTATGTAGAGAGAAGAAGAGAAATTGTGTGAAAATTTTTATAAAATGGTAGGTATTTATAGGGTAAATGATTTTTTTTAATAGTTAATTTGTTATATATAAAAGAACTGTTGCCAAACGGTTAGTCGATGAAACGTTTGAAAATGGTGTCGTTTCTTCCGGTTGTGACGCCAACGAGTTTCGCCCTCAACGAGCAAAAACAAGAAGGGGGCGGTGTTCCCCCTATCACGACGCCGTTAAGGCTTGCCACGTTCGCACAACGAGCACGGGAAGTGCCCATACCGTCTCGTCTTAGTTAGTTGATTCAGACAGAGTCCACGACAATTTTAATACGAGATTTTTATTTATTTATGTATATTATTATTATTATTATTATTATTATTATTATTATTGTGTGTGCATGGAACACTACTAGAAACAAGAGTTTCAACGACAGACCAATCCGTTGCTTTCCGTTGCTAATGATTCTTTGCGACAGATAAGTGACAGACAAACTCCATAGCAAATTTAAGCATGGCTAATGTGCCGGCGAGAGTTATTGCGACAGATTGGTTTTTACTTGCAACGATTTAGTAACAGATTATCCATCGCAAATGGTTACTTACTACACTCATTTAGGACATCCATCGAGAAAACGTAGTAACATTACTCCGTCACTGATCCATCTCAAATCTCCATATTTATTTTTGCAGTCCGTTGATGATCCGTCGCAAATGTATGATACCAGATTTTTTAATCCATCGTTGATCCCTCGCAAATGTATGATAAAATATTTTTTTAGTCTGTTGCTGAACGTTCACAAATTTAATAATATAATAACATATTTTTTGATTTTTTTATTACCAATCTAAAACAAAAATAAGAAAAAAAAATCAAATAAATTATACAATCCCAAAACAAACATTAATATTTATATAACAAAAATATTAATGAATATACACTCCAAACCTAACAATTAACCTTAAAATACCAAAATCATCAACCATCAAAGTTTACCAAAAATCCTAAAACATCATATATCAAAGTTTAACATTAATTTCAAAGTACCATAATTCATAATTCTTAATTTTCCACAACTTTCACATCTTTAATATCTTTAATATCTATCTCCCCCACACATTTCCAGTATTCATACACAACCTACAATTAAAACAGTTAAAACATGAATATAAGATGTTAGATTTTGTTATTAGAATCTCATGATAGGAAAAACTATAAAGTAAAATGTTATGGAAGTAGATACTATAATAGACAAAATTAAACGAACCTTTTGGGGCATTATTGTACTAGATGCGAATCCAAAATATTCTTCCATAAGCCTCCTATTATAGCAAAAGTAAACATGAAATAAATTATAAGGGCCAACATAAATAGATTAAGAAACACAAAAATAAGATGTTATAACAGCCAACATAGTACTTTCAATACAAAAATAGATAACAAAAGAAAAGATTTATGGAATGACACTCACATTAGACCATTGTACGTTCAAATACAAAGTTTCTTTAATAACTAAAATGTTAGAACAAGTATAATACCAAATATTAAAAACAATTAAATAAAAATAATTATAATAAAATACAAATAAAAATATTATATTACCAGTTTGATTGTAACCTCGCCTCGTTTTTTCTCTGAGTCGAATGAGAATGCATGAACTACTAAAGATGACCTGGCGTCATCTCATCAAAATCAGGTCATCATCAAAATTCATTCCAAGCTGCATATAATAATAATAATAATAATATATTATGAGGAACAAAATCAAAAATTATAAAAGAAAATAATATATGAGTAAATGGTACCTCCACATTTCCACCAACCTACATCAAAAGTTACAAACAGTTATAAAAAATTATTTTTAAGATAAATAAATTCTTAACGAATTTACCTTAGATAAAAATACACTGCCAGTTCAATGAGAAGAGATACAAGTCTAGATGGCAATTCAGACGTTTTATTTGGTGGATCAATTTTCTTACCACATTTACAAACCTCAACCACAATCATCTGAAGACAACAAAATAATAAAGATTTTATAATTTGAAGAAACATAAAAATAATCCAAAAAAAGTAAAGAAACATAGACATATCAAATTTAATGTCAATGTTCCAGTTTTATCACTACAAATTGTAGAAGCAGATCCCATTGTCTCACAAACAGATAGTCTTCTAACCTGCAACAAAAACTAATTATTATATAAATATATAATATACATGAATTTTTATTTAAGATTTTCAATAAAAATTACCCTTTGTCTGCCATCATTTTACGTATAGAGTATTCAAGCCAGTAAAATTAAATAACAATATATTAAATGTTGAAATTTTATAAAAAAACTACAAATGATATATATATATATATATTATATATATATATATATATATATATATATATATCATAAATTAAAAATACAAAACAAATGGATAAATAATAGAAATAAAACTACATTATTATTCGTTAACAACGATGTAATTTACAATAACTAAAATTAGAAGTTATATGCTAAATACTTTTGTTACTAAGTTATAGTATATTTTATTAATTAAATAACAAAGTAGTATATTAATTTTATGATTTGAATGAATATTATAAAATAATGGATAAAAGAAGGTAATTGCAAAGTTCTTTGAGCCGAATTTGGATGCCCTCCACGATAAGACCACTCTTCTGATTTGCGGTAACCTCCACAAACGCCATGTCAACTTCCCCGTCGTCTCCTTCCTTGTACTCGATTTCTCCCAACTTAATCTCCATCCACCCATCCTCTCTCCTATGAGGAAACACATAGTTTTCTTGCCATGTTTCATTAGCCTTTGGTCTTTCAAGATAAACATTTTCAGTCTCCCTTTTTTTCCCACCAAAACTTATGCTTGAATTTGCTGGCAGATCAAGTTCCTTGCAATCTTTGGTAGTTTGAAAGACAAGATACGCCACATATGTACTCTTTTCTGACAACTTTACAGTTGCTATTTTGCCATGGATCGCAAGCCACCATACTTTTCTAAGTATCCACACCTCCGGGAACCTACACAAACGGCAACGTATGTGTCTCAATTCCCAGTATGCAGCGGTTTCTTGCCATGCAATGGATGAATCCTTTGGACCTAACATATAAAAGTTTTTTCCACTCTCCTACTTGTCGATTGGAATGCTCAGTTTATCCCACATATATAAGTTTTTCCACATCTCCTGCTTGTTGATTTGAAAGCTCAGTTTAGGGAATATTTGTGAGGCCAAATTTTAGTAGAAGTTGTTAAAAAATTCTATTGTAAAATGGTGGTTTCCTCTAGTATCATTAGATATGAAAAATACCATCAAACCCAATTCCATGTATTGTACTTTTCATTATCATGCAAAGTATGTTGGGGAAACGCACTAAGCTTTGACTTACAGTTTAGTTTACGGTTTTAGGTACATTAGAGGATAGAGACAATGCGAATGTATGATTGTGCACATCATCCTGGATTTTTATATATGTTATGATTTTGGGATACTCTGATTTTTGTTCATGGTTTTGAGAAACTATGTTTTGATGTAAGTTATGGATTTCGGATTTGTTTTAAAAATGAAAATTTTTGTCATGATTTTCGGATGTTACAACAGGGGAGACGTGTTCCTAGCCAATTATTTATGTTGTCAGCGAAAAATATTCTAAAATACAAAACAATTTTAACATTTTGAATTTTTTAATACTAATTTTGTCATTTTATTTAATGAAATAAAATAAAATGAAATTTTGTTTTAAAAAGATTACCATTTTTACTTTATATGATTATTTTTTAGAATTGTTAGAATCTCATAATATTCTAGTAAATACTACATAATAAATATTTAAATAGAACTGTTAGAATAATCTAATATTCTATTAGAATTGTAAAAATTGTTAAAATATTCTAATATTTCATTAGGATTGTTAGAATATATTAATATTCTACTAGAGTACTACCCGTAAAATTTTGTTAGAATATTCACATATATACATAAACAAAGCTCATTTAATTATTTTGGATAAAAATAAATAACGAAAATAATATTAAAAAAAGATTTTTCGGAATTTTCATCTTATTTTTAAATTTTAATTTTTTTTATTATTTTTTGAGCTGCAAAATGAATGACTAGGATTGAGTCTCTATGTTTCTCTTCTATAACTATCATCCATATCATAGTTTTACCACTCTTTCGGTATTTTTTACAAATTGTATACAAATACTTTCCATAAGTTTTTCTTAAATTTTTTATAACCTTTTTTAAGGTGACTTTTAGTTCTTTTCCAACTTTTTTTTGTATTTCTTTTTACAACTTTTGTTAAATTATTTTTACAATTACATCTTTTTTTTAACAATTAATAGTGTACATTTTTCTTAGTTTTTTTTTTTAATTTTTAATTTTTTTTAATTTTTATAATATCTTTGATTTTTATATTCTTTAAATGTATTTTTTTAGTTGGACAACTTATTTTAGATCTTTTTTGATTATTTTGTTTCTTATCAATTTAGCAAAACACAGCAAACTAACCCTAAATACATAACACATTAAAAATCGCCCCTCTACGCTATACCTAATGCTCGTGCTGGTAGATAGCATCATACATTAAAAATACAACACAAATAGATAAATAATAGAAATAAAACTACATTATTATTCGTTAACAACGATGGGCGTAATTTACAATAACTAAAATTAGGAATTATACACTAAATACTTTTAGTACTAAGTTATATAGCAAAGTTATTTAAGCCGAATCTCGATACCCTCCACGATAAGACCAAGCTTCCAGTTTCCATTGATAATTTCCTCAAACGCGATGTCAATTTCCCCGTCATCTCCTTTCTTGTACTTGAATTCTCCCAACTTAATCTCCATCCATCCTTTCTCTTATGAGGAACCACATAGTTTTCTTGCCATGTTTTACTATCCTTTGGTCTTTGAAGATAAACATTTTTCCGTCTCCATTTTTTTCCCACCAAAAGTTATGCTTGAATTTGCTGGCACATCAAGTCCCCTGCAATTCTCAGCAGTTTGAAGGATAAGATACGCGACATATGTACTCTTTTCTAACTGCTTCACAACTGTTATTTTACCATGGATCTCAAGCCAACATACTTTTCTAAGTATCCACACCTCGGGGAACCTACACAAACGGCAATGTATATGAATGCCAAATACACTATAATAACATACAATGTGACGATAAAGAGAGAAAAGGAGAGACCTTGATTGCGGTATATGTCTCAATTCCCAGTATGCAGCGGTTTCGTTCCATGTAATGGATAGATCATTTGGACCTACCATATAAAAGTTTTTCCTACTCTCCTGTTTGTCGATTGGAATGCTCAGTTTATCCCATATATAGAAGTTTTTCCATTTCCTGCTTGTCGATTTGAAAGCTCAGTTAATGGAATATTTATGAGGCCAAATTTTAGAAGTTGTTAAAAAGTTCTATTGTAAAATGGTAGTTTCCTCTAGTATCATTAGATATGAAAATAACCATCATACACATGGTACGTAGATGTATTTACCAAGAAAAAAGGAAATAGTGCATGACAAGGATGATCGACTTAGTAGATCGCCACGACAAGAAGAAAATGCACATCCGTTAAACAGGGTAAAATTGATTTTTACACACAAAAACCAGAACAAGTCTATTCTTTTATTGAAAATATATTCTTATAAAAAAGATTAGAAACATATATAGTTAAAAAATATCGAATAACTTGTCATATTATATATTCCATGCATGATAGTTTTCATTCTTGCTATGGAAATATATTTCCTAAAAAATATCGAATAAAAGACTTACTTGAATACTTTGTGCTTCCTCGATCGCCTCGATGATCTTATCCATCGTCGGGCATTTCTTTATGTTAAAGTTAATACACATATGTGCAATTTCATTAAATTTATGAAAATAACTCATACAAATCTTCCCTTTGATATCGGTATCTATTAACTTGTCAAGTTCACTAACATGTTTTAGTTCGTCGTCGTCATAGTAACTTCGGACTATGTCAATCAGATATTTTTGATCCTTAGTTTCTTCAAAGGGCCTTGCAGGATAAGCCATCATCCCACTTGACATTTCAAACATTACCACTCCAAATGAGTATATGTCGGACTCTTTAGAGAGCATACCTCTTTCGATGTAACTCGGATCCATGTAAAACCTTGTACCATGAACCCTTGTGAGAACATGGGTATTGGGCTGATTTCTAGGACAAAATCTTGAAAAACCAAAATCACATATTTTAGCTTCCATATTATCATCAAGCAAAATAGTAGCACTCTTCACATCTCTATGAATTACTCTCTTGTGCTCTCCAACACCGGAGTGCAGGTACTTTATTCCTCTTGCTGCCCTCAAGCAAATCTTCAGGCGTTGTTCCCATGTTAGGCAACACCTCTTATTTTGGTCTTGGAGTTGATAATTGAGGCTTCCGTTAGTAGCATATTCGTAAGCTACAATTTTCTCATTTGCCTCTTCACAGTAACCAATGAATGGGATGATGTTTGGATGATTGAAATTAAAAAATGGTCTGATCGTTCTTCTTATTTTTATAATATTCAAATATGTATAAATAACATATCATAACTACAAAGTTAATTGTTTTAGTTATCATCATACAAAGAATGAGAAGGCAGACGGGCAACAAGTTGCGCCGCTAAGCCCTTTTGTATGGTAAAACCAATTCTTTTGACGACTATTAGGATGAAGGTGCTTGATGGCTACTAAGCGGTGTTTCCACTGTTCAGAGAGTTGTCCTCTATAGACCATACCAAATCCACTCTCTCCGACGTTAGTTTCTGAACTGAAGTGTTTTGTCGCCGGAATGATCTCCTCCAGTGGAATTTGACATTCTAGGTTTATCCCGGACGAAGACATTGTTTTTGTAATGGTGATAATGAAAAGTTAGAAGCGTGTACCTATATTTTCGTCATGTCTTAGAGAATCCTATACCAAACTTGTATCTTTTATACTTATCTGATCAAGATATATGTGGAAATATGCCTCCAAATTTGCAAGTTCTTCATAACTCAAGGACTAAAATTTTAAAAAGGCTTTTTGGAGAATGATTGGAGGTTTGGAGATGGCGGTAGATATTGAAAGTGGCCCGGTAAGCTGTCTTACTGACCCGACATTCATTTTTTTCTTTTCTGTCATTTTCATAAGTACAGCGACTTCGACTTTTCTAAAAAAAAAATAATTACCAAATAAAGATATAAAATAATCATATCTCCATTTCTTATTAGTCGTATATCCACAATTAATCATCAAAAACAAAATCAAATTGGGATAAATAAAATCTTTTATTGCATCCAATTTGTTTCCTTTAAAATCCTTATCGATTTATAGTATTATCAGCCAAATCGAGACCCTAAGTGGAACCAAAACGCGTAGCACGACCATATAAACCTACTATAGCAACTATAACAAGCTGAAACTGATGAATCATACCTTAATTTCAAGCACAACTCCGAAAATACTTCAAGAACTTCCAATCCCTATTTCTCCTTCGATTCTCTGTCGATTTCCAAAATTCTTGTGGGGTTTCCACTCGATTTTACGTGCTATATATAATGCCTAGATGCTTAACTGATGAAACCTTTCCACTAGCTCGAATTTACTGCCTAATCAAAGTGACGTTTTTTTTAGATATTAAGCCTCATAATTTGTCACTAATTGCATCATTAACTTTGAACTAATCATTATTTTATATAATCTGATTATATATATTTTTTTATTTTGATTATTACACTGCTGCTCTATTTTCTATTTTGCTTTGAATTGGTATCCCGTTTCAGAGATTCTGTGTTGTGAATTTCTGTGTTTCTGCTGTGGTAGGCTCTCCTGCGATAGAAGGAACCGGTGTGGAGAGCTTGAGCAAAAGAACCTGCGACTGAAGGAGAACCTGAGCACTGCACCATCCTTTTTTTCTCCCTGAGTAGACAACAGATCTGCCATTTTTTTTCTTGATTCGAGCTAGATAAATACATTACTTTATTTTGTGTTTTGTTAAGCTTAGTAACTTATAGATAAATACATTACTCAATTTTGTACACATTTTATTTGCAAATAACACCTACTTACATTATAGATTCGTAAAATTAACTTCATAAATAGTACTTTTTATATAGATACGAAAATAAATTATAAACACAAAATATATTAATTAATGTTCGGCTCATCTGATGACTGAAAAAAGATGGAAAAAAATCTTTTTTGTTTACAATTATAAATACCCAAACAACAAAATACATTGCCACTTTCATCAAAAGGAATCAAATTTTACATTTTACGTCTACATAAATGATTAAAAAATTTATAACTCATAATTTTGAAAAACTCGATGCATACTACTGTTATTATTATTTAGTTTAAAGTAAACACATATAGATTTTTTAAACTTTCAATACATTAACATAGTCGAACATAAACAACACATGTATATTCAACTTAAAAATGAAGAGCTGTGGTTGTCATTAATATTTTGAATTTTATTACATATTTTAAAATTATGAAATTACAATTTGAGATTGGAAGACAACAATACAAACTTATTTATACACTTCACATCGAAATCTTTACAAACAAATCTGAAAGTATCTATCGAACATAACTCAAACAATCAGCCTTTGACATCCGTCATCATGATAATCAGCTCTTGAGGAAAATTACAACAAATTTCTAATAAGTCACAATCTGCAAAAAGCAAATAAAATTAATGCAAATCAAACTAAAATAACAAAAATATCAATTATTTAACCTTTAAGAAAATGCATCACAAAACAACAGTTGATAAATGGTTTATAAAGACAAGAAAATTCCAATAGACCATGACTTCCAATACAATGGATTTCATATTAACTCATGCTTTCAAAGACCTGAATAGAGTTGCACTTGTAGACTCAAAACCTTTTTTTTTCTTCTTTCTTAAAGCTTTCCAGACAAATGCCAGCAAGGGGGCTTTAGGTTAGGTATAGGACCACGTCATTCCATGTGTCTATGAACAAAAATAAAGAAAAAAATGGTTATTTAATGATTTCAAAATTTAAATATAAAAAGAAATGAATGCAAACGATACAGAATATTCAGGTATGCCAGATAAAACTTTTAAAAAATATCAAATAGCTAAATAGGTAGTGTATTAGTCTATTGTTTAGCAGATAGCTCTAAAAAACTCAAATGCTTGAAAATCACAATCAGAAACACACAGATTTGTTACATATTCAAGTAAATATCAAAAGGACAAAAATCAAATAAATGTTGTTGCACATTGAAGTAAAATATTTACCACAATCTAAAAGAAATGGAATTGTTTTTACCTTTGACAAAGGATTAGGTTTTAATAGAGGCAAAAATCAAGAAGGAAGGCACATATCTTACAGGGTTGAACATAACCTGCAAATAGAAAGAGAAATGTGTGGTTAGATCTAGGTGTATGTATGTGTGTGTGTGTGTTTGTGCAGACGGTTTAGCACTGGCGGCGGTTGTTGGGTGGCGAAGATGATGACCATGTTGGTTAGAGTTTTTTACAGGTAGGTTTTTCATAGAGAGATTTTAAGAACTAAGGTTTTGAATACTCGTTAGGGAGCAGATGAAAGTGGTGGCTTTAGTAGCAAACTTGACGAAGGATGCTTGGTGAGGAAGGCGAGAGAAAGATGTGGTTTTAGGGTTTTTAGATTCACTACAAGAAACGTTAGCAATAGCGGCGACGCCGAACAATAGCGGTGACATGTAACGCGTCAATTACTTGTCGCCGCTATTGCTCGGCGTCGCCGCTATTGCTAACACAGTGGCGATCCGCGTGAAACAATCCCTGTCCGTTTGATCTGTATACAATCCGACTGTCAAAATTCCAAAAAAACGCGCTGACTTTTCCCTCCAGGTCGTCGCCGCTAAAAACCCTACGCCGCCGCTATTGCTCGTCGCCGCTAAAGGCTTGCGTCAGATAACCCCCCAGTCGACCTTCTTTCTTTCCATCGTTGTATTCTCTTTCTCTCAAGCAAGTCCGACGTCTGCACCACCACATTACGATTCCGACCACCGACAACCACTTTACCGGCGACGGGCCTTGTTTACCGGCGAACCACCGTCATTACCGGCGGCCATTGAGTTAATTAAGGGCAATTCCGACCACAACAACATTTCTGTGAAATTGAGTTATCTAAGGTCGAATTTTTTTCCCTAATTTCTATTCTTCTTGTGTTTTGATGTTAGTTTTACAATTAAAACCTGATTGTATCATTGATTTCTATGTTTTGTAAGATTTTTTGGTTAGTGATTTTGAGTGTCAACCAAGACTCTTGTTTGGCTGTAAATTGATGATTTTTGAGTGATTATGTATGTTTTATCATATTTTATGGAGTCTATTGTATAATTGATTTGTGTTTATGCTCATTGTGATGTATTGGCATGAAAATGGAATTAGACATGGTTTTTTGTGATTTTGTATTTAGGTGTATATTTTTCTATGAAATTGGAATTGGATGTCTAAAATTGTAGGATTGTATGAAATTGGATGTATTGCTTAATTGTTTGAAATTGGAATTTGAATTGGATGTATTGTATGAAATTGGATGTATTGTTTAATTGTATGAAATTGGAATATGAAAGTTGTATTGTATGTCTAAAATAAAATGAAAATTGGAATTGAATCTATTATATATATGTATGATTATGTGATATTTTGGTTTAATAGTTTGGTGTATATAAGATGAAGTGATAAAGTTCTTAATTGATAAGTTATAGCAACGTACTTCTAGTAATTTTAATTTAATTATAGAATAAAATTAAATTAATTTTAAAAAATCAATAAAAAAATAATAAATTAATTGTAAAATCAAATTAAAGTAGTTATAAAATCAAGTTAATGTTAATATTAAAATAAAATAAAATTAGTTTAAAAAAATAAACTAATAACAAAAAAGAAAATATTAAACTAATTAGAAAACCAAATTAACTTAACTTTAGAATCAAACAAAGTTACCATTTATAAAATCAAATTAAATTAATTATAAAACCAAATTAATAGCAACATACTTTTAGTGACTTAATGTTGGTCATTACAACTTTAGCTTAAT